CTTCGTAAAAGGCAAGTGTCACAGTCGTATTTCCATGTTGAGTGGCCAGCACTGTAGCCCTCAGTACAGCCCTGGAATGTGAACTGTGAATCCTGTTCAGGCTTTATCCCTCCTTTACTTTTATAGGGCCCAAAATGACAGTGGGTCGAGAGACAGACCCTATATGCGTGTGCACATATGCACACACACTACACAGTGCACACATGAGCATGAGTACATGCAGAAAGATGCTACCCAAGATGCTCAGCATGTGGCAAACCAGGTTGAACGTTGGGACCTGTCTCGCAGGCATGGTGAGGCGGTGTTGGCTGCCTGTTGGAAAAGCCGCCCAGAGTGGGTGTTTTCCTACGCCTTAGTAGATATGTCTGGATGTTTATGTCAGCTTTACTTCATTCACCTCCTGTTTAACAGCTGAGTTTCTGTACTATTGAATTAATTTTTTGTTGGAATATGTGATGTGAGCTGTGAGTTTTAAGAAAGCATCCTTTCTCCCTGTTGATGGCTGTGGAGCGGCATTGCAGTCTCCTGACCACCAGGGGGCACCCTTCTCACTAGCTACCGGACTGGATCAAGTTCTGTGTTCTGGTGTGTAAACTAGGGCTAACAATAGTACTTACTCCTCTGGTAGGATTGTGAGGTTAAATGCATCCATGCAAGAAAAATACTCAAAAGAGTATAAATTACATTTTGAAAGGACAGATTGGGAAAAAGTATCTCAGAGTTGCAGCATGGTAAATGTTCAGTAACTTTGAGGGAGTTAACTGATATTAACCCCCTCAAAGAATTTATTACAGGATAATTATTCCAAACACAGTGTCTAGGCCTCCAAATGGACAGATGTCTGAAAGGGGAGACACGCTTTTCTGTTTTACTGGAACCTTCCCTGTACACAGGCCTTTGAAGCCCCTTCCTAAGTGTGTGTGCCTGTGATCTCCTTAGTATGAATGGATGTGATTCGTAGTTGGGATGATTTCAGCCCCCAAGGGATACGTGCCCATGCCTGGAGACACTGGGTTTCCTTGCCGGGCACGAGGGTGCCCTTGGCAAGCATGACTGTGGTTGTGCCAATGGCAGCAGGCTCTTTGCATGCCCAGTACCCTTGTGGTGGGGACAGGGATGCTGCTGAATGTCTCCTGAGAGCCTGAGGAGGAGAGAGGGCCTACTCGGAGTAACAGACTGCAGCAAGCACGCACCCTCCTGTGGGTGTTTGGATCTTTCATCCCTGTCCCCCGGCCGTGAGGCTGTCCTGGATAAGCACCTGTAGAGTGGTCCAGAATGGTGGTCTGGGCCTGGAGCTGCAGGGAACACTGGGCACGAGGCTGTTTCTGTTTCAGTGGGTGTGACTTAGTGAGAGCGCCTGGTGGACAGCCATTGCTGTTTGCATCACGTTGTCTTCCTTCACCTTTATTTCAGCACTGGCTTTTCTACTGTTGGACGAGTTTCTTTATTTGAGAGCTGAGAGCTTTACCTTTCTCCCTGTTGTTGGTGACAGAGCCATTCTTTAGCCACCAGGGGGCACTGTAGCCTTTCCTCTGTCCTTACTGTTTGCTCCCCCCTCCTCCCATGGGGGTTTGCATCTCAGTTGTGGATATCCAGGGCTGGTGCCTTATTTCAACAGTCAGGTGGTAGGGGCAGGGGTGATGGGGGCAGGGGTGATGGGGGCAGGGGTGATGGGGGCAGAGGTCTTTTCCAGGAAAAAGACACCAGGTGTGCACAGAGCTTCTTCTTGGGGTCATCACCATAGTCACACCTTGCCCATGGCTTTTGGGGAGGAGGAAGGGAGTCTGGGTTACTTTAGAAGGCGATATACTTCTAACTATAAACTGCTCTCTTTTGCTATCTTGCTTAGCCATGGATATCTTTGTGGCTTTTGAATCTTGACCACTGCCTTCCTTTTCTTCCCTGGGGCTCAGAGTGGTTGGCACAGCGAGAAGGAAGACAAGCAACTTGATTACTGCCTGTTCCTTTGTTACGTTAGATGTTGAGCCTTGGCAGAGAGGGCGAGAGAAGCACCCTTTGTTGCTCACTGGCCTCACTGAGCAGTCTGTTTTCCCCTTGATATCATGGGAAGGGATTTTCAATCTCAGGAGGCAGGCAGGCCTGTTGCCTGGCAACACCATTCCAAACACTGGGCAGTTTGAGGAATGGAACTAAGAAGCGCTATGGGGCTGACTCGGGAGGTAGTGGCAGGGCCCAGCAGCCCGCCCAGGGCTTTACTGAGGGTTCAGTGGTGAGACTGTAGGATGAGCTAGCCGAGCAGTGGCCGTGAAGTTGGGCACAGGGCAAGCTGCATGTGCCTTAGCCACATGGCCTGCGTCTGTGTCACGCAGCAGATCACTCATGCTGGAGACCTGCTTTCCTAGATGCCAGTTCCAGATGTGATTTAGACATGTCTCACTTCTTAATTTGTTCACCCACTCCCCAGATGTTTACTAAATGTCTGTTACATGGTGGACACTATTATAGGTACAAGAGAGGAAGGCTAAGGATCCATCGCTACCACTTACAAGCTCCGTGCCTCAGTTTTCCCATCACCGAGATGACAGGATGAAACTCTTATAGCTACAGTGAGGACTAAGAGAGGCAGTCTGTGGGAAGCTGGTGTGATTGTGCACTCAGTGCCCGGGGGCATCATCAGCTCCTGCTTACAGAGCGTTCCAAGACTGTAAGTGAGACATGACAGAATGCAAGCCATGGGGGGGGGGCATTTGGGTAGTCACGAAGGGAGTCACATGGGAGGGACACAATTGTTTTGTCATCAGTGGACACCCTGAGCAGAAGATCCTAAGAGGTTCTACATTGTCACCTCCAGCCCAGTGCCTGAAAGCATAAATTCCTCTGATGTGGGGCTGTGGCTGATGCCACTGACACTAATACAGACCTGTTTCCTTACTGATGCTGGGAGTCGGGACGTGATGAGAATCCACAGGGCAGCCTCAGTCCAGAGGAAACAAAGCTTGGACATGGGTGTGGTGGGGCTAAGGAAGCCTTTGCAGAGATGGGGACACTGGCCAGGAAGGGTGGGGTACAGAAGCAGTGTGAGGGTGGCCTTTCTGAGCTGCAACTCTGCTCTGTACCATGGGCACTGAGGGGTGTCCACCATTAGAAGCACCGAGGAAGTGTGTTACCTAGTCAGGCAGCAGAGAGGAAGGGGGTTCCCCGGGGCAGTGGTTGGTCTAGCGACACAGCTGGAGTCTCACTGGACACCTTGCCCTGTCCTTTTCTCACCCTTATTCAATGGGCACAATGTAGGGACAGTCCGTGGCGGAGGTGGGATCTGGGCTGGAGGTGGTTGCTTCCCCTCATCTGAATCCTGCTGGCCGTATGTGCCTCTGTTCCTGTTTTTACTTTCTAGAACTTTTAGCATTTGGCTCCTCCTGCCTCTCCTTTTAGTAAGTGGCTGACCTCCAAATGAATTGTAATGTTTACTCTGGTGGCTCTCACTGTAGTCCACTCCAGGCGCCCTTGGTAATGGTAGAAACAAAGTGGTCTGTCTCTCTGTGCTGTCTTGTTTCCACTTGTTCTCTCTTGGTGATGTTTTTGTAGTTATTAATGTAGTCACCCATTCCTGGAGCCCAAGTGTATGATTATAATCCTTCCATAGTTATTTGTTAAAAAGGTGAACTGTACTGAAAACACCGACCTATACTATTCCCGTTTCCTATCCAAGGATCTAGTTCTATATGCAGCAGTAAAGAGAACCAGAGCCCATGTCCTTGAAGTCATGGCTGTTACTGGGTCCCAGCCATCCGCCAGCAGTGGACCTTGTTTGAAGAGGGTACCCTATGACACGTCTCCTCCTTAGCACAGCAAACTGTTCTCCAGGAAAACCCAGCTTGGGGTCACCCTGGCTAGACTCTGTGCAGGCCCACGTGGTTTAACAGTGTCTTGCTTTTCTCCTTGTCATCCAAGCAGCCTTCACCCACAACCTCTGGAGGTCAGCTGTGGGTAGGTCCACCATCCTCACATACTGTACTAAAACATTCTCCATTGTGGAATAGTTGACGCGATGAGCTCTCTGAATTTGGGAAACCTATTGTTAGATTTTCTCACACACATCTTCTGCTCAAAATCTTGAATACAGTGCGTATCACACTCTGAACATCCCTCTCCTTCAGGACAAATGTAAAGGGTGAGTGGTACCATTGACTAGAAACTGCAAAGCATGCTGGGGACCTGCCTTCCACTGTTACCACCCTGTGTCTGCCAATCTGTGTCAGCCTGTCTGGTGCTGCAGATGTGTGGAGCAGGCTCTGAGTACAACTCTGCTTGCATGCTCCTAGTTTTTTTTTTTTTTAAATTCTTTTTATTTTTTGTGATTCTAATTATGTCATTTTTCTCCTTCCCTTTCCTCCCTCCAAACCTTCCCATATTCCGCTCCTTGTTTCTTTTCAAATTCATGGCCTCTTTTTTCATAATTGTTGTTACATGCACACACACACACTCACCCCTAAATAAAAAGTACAACCTGCTTAGTATGTGTAGTGTTACCTGCACGCGTGTTTTCAGGACTAACCATTTGGAATTGGATAACCAATGGCGTGCTCTTCCCTGAGGAAGACTCTCCCACTCTCAGCGTTCTTTAGTCGCCTGGAGTTCTTTGTGTAGGGCTGAGGGCTTTCTCTCATCCACATTAGCATGTTCACCTCATTTTCTGAGACAAGGCCTCTCCTTGGCTAGACTGGCCGTGCAGTGGGCCCCAGGAGCCCAAGCATCTCTGCCTCCCTAGCACTGGGATCACAAGTAACATCACTGTTACTTTTTGGGTTCTGGGTGTTGAACTCACGTCTTTGGCTGCTGACTGAGCCCTCTCCCTAGCCCCTTAATTAAGGCTTCTTCCTGCTCTTTCCCATTTTAGCTATATAGGAAAGAGACAGAGGTTTACTCTGGGAGTTTGAAGGTAGTCAGCCTTCATCTTCAGAATGTGAAGCAGCAATGTTCACAGTGAGGGCGGGCTGGTTTTTATAGTGCTTTCTGGGAAAGGCCAACAGCAACTCGTCCACAAGTCCTTGCTGAAGCTTTAATATTTAGAATAATTAGACTTTTGTCTCCTGAGTAGCAGTGGTGACTCACAGAGGAAGATGTCTTTTTTCAGGTGCTGAGTTAATGATGGAAAACTAGGAGATGAGGATGGTGGTGTCCATGGTTCTGAGGACTATTCCCAGAATCCCCTAAGCTCATCAGTATGGCCCATCACAGTGATGAGCCATATTACTCGAAGTGGAGTGATTACCCTGGAGGAAAGAGTTTTGCAAATATCTCATGGTGTTGGTGTTTAGTCAGTGATTCAACAGAGAAGTTGGGAGCCAACCTTGCTGCATAGAGAGCTCAGCAGTGGGTGTCCTGTCAGCCTGCGTGGGAGTTGATGAAGACTGATTGCTTGTCCCCTGCCATCCATCTTCACTAGCCCTCAGCTCCTCTGGAGGGACGGAGCAGATGCCTCTGTCTAACCAGCTGGAAGGAGGAGAGAGGTTCAGAAGCAAGGCTGATGCTTGCTGCCTTCACTGGGGACCTGAGGCGCTTGGTTGGTGTAAATTTGTTTTGCTTGTCCCTGGCCAATACCATTGCTCAGGCTGTCTTGGAAAAGTTAGATGGAATTTGCATTTGGGACCTAGCTCCCTATCATTTGGGTACTTAGTCTTTATTCCTCCCTCTTGAAGTGTCATATCGCCTAGCCCCTTCCCTAGCCCAGGAAGGATTTCTTCATCCTAAACCCCTCAGGCTTTCTAGTGACACCTCCCCATCTGCTCATGCCTGTACCTGAAACTCAACTCAGTCTTTGCTAGCCTACTGGTCTTCCCTCACATGCCTCCAGGCTCCCCGAGGACAAGGGTCAGAGGTCAGGGATCATTTCTCATGCTTTAGTTCACAGATGCTCCTTGAATTATGATAGCTACATTGTGATGTCATAAGCATTTAATAAGCCCAGCCTACCAGGGCACAGTGGCACAGCCTGAGGAAAATTGCATGGCTGCTGCCCAGCATAAAGAGAGAGACTATTGTATGTTGTAATGCTACCCCAGGAAAGCATCAAAATTCAACTTAGGCCTATACTTTCTATTGAACATATGTTGGATTTTGTACCATTATAAATCAGGGACCATCAGCACCTTGTCCAGTACCAGCCATCTTGAAAGTGTTAGGTAATTGTTGATCAGGTGAGCAGATGAGGATCAAGAGGGTGAATAGCCTGGATGATAGGTTGATGCCAGGCCTCTGCATGGGGTGTTGACTGCCAGTGCCAGGCTTCTGCTGGTGTTTGAGCTTCAGTGTCCTCAGGATGTCTCTGCAGGGAGTTGCTCTATCAGGAGTTCCTGATAAGGAGTAAAGAAATTGTTCCAAGTGATTAGATTAGAATTTGGCCAAGAACTGCTGGAATCTTAAGGTCCCAAACAATCAACAGCCCCAGGAGGAGACTGAGACATATTAGGAAGTATCCTAGAAATATTAGGAAAGTCATAGAAAAACAAAGGAAGTTGGGGAAGGTCAGTGTGGTGCCATAGAGGTTT